GCGGCGCTGCAATCGACGGCGGCGATGAGCGGCGACGCCGGTGGCTGGCTGCTCCAGTTGGACGGCGACGACCGGCGGCTGGCTCACGGCGGCGCTGCACCAGTCGGCGATGATGGTGGCGAGGCTGGGGAAGGGCGACGAAGAAGAAAGAAGAAGAAGGAGAAGAAAGAAGAAGAAAGAAAAACGGACGAAGATAGGATAAGGTTTGTGTGGTTTAGGTTTATTTAATGGTCCCATTCCAAAAAGGATTGGGCTTCGGACCCAAAATACCTTATTAAATGGTCATAACTTGAGTTCCATAACTCCGATTCGCGAGCCGTCTGAACCGACGCGATCACAAAAATATTTCCTACGAGATGACATAAAAGTTGGGCTTAAAATCCAAATTATAATTTTAATCCCTTAATGGGCCCAATTCGTAATCAATTGCTCTAACAATTTAATTAATTCTTTTGGGCCAGGTTTCGGGGCGTTACAGCTTAGCTAAATGTGGCTGAAATGGATGTCACCAGATGGTATTTTTATGCTGAAAAAACTCATTATATCCACTTATCTCAGTTAAACAACCCCTACCAAACAGACACAATGTCTACCACTTGGTTTTGCTATTATTACGAAGCTACGGCTGCTTAATTCGAGAAACAGCTTATCATTGTAACTAAATATGTCCTGTTCACGACTTTATGGCTCTTCTTGGGGCTGTTATTAAACCATCATATACCAATCTAATAAGAACCCGCCTTGAGGAAATGGATCGCCACCTAATTTTGTCGCCTTTCCGTAGCATTTTTACAAAAGAAAATAACTTTCCATAGCATTTTTTTCCGATATCCTAAAATACCCGTAAATGAGAAGCCAAATCTTTACAAACGGTGCTGCATCTGTCCTCTTTACACGGGCAGATGCATCTTTCCATCCACAAGTTTTTTTAATGATTTGTTTGATTCAGATTGTAATGACAGTAATTTCTTACTGATACTACAAGAACTTCTAGCAGTATACACATAACCTTAAAGTACTGAAATCTTAGAAGAGGAACAACCAGTGGAAGAGTGAGCAGATTTTTTCTATTCAAGACAAACACCACTACAACAATTACGGTGACCGGTAAATAGAAAGCCATCAAAGAGTATATTTCTTACCTGAACATAGATTATGCAGAGTGAGAAACTTGTATGTATGTAGCCGATACGAATCGATAAACCTCAATCTGCACATGTTTTAAAGTGAGTGACAATTTCATAGGAAACCCCAATTGCACCAATCAAGAACAATGGATCAATCAATCCTCACTCAACATAAGCTCTCAAAGCCCCCACCCCCAAAAAAACCCAAACCCTAAAATGGATCAAAACCTGCATTTATGCCATCAAGTAAGAGCAAATATGAATGCCCCCAAGATTGCATTTTTTCCCCATCTCTGTAACTTTAACATGGAAAGAGAAATGATTTCCAAACTGTGATTACTTTAAGGTAGGGGTGGGTAGAAGCCGTAGAACAGAACACTGTTACAGCTGGTTTACAGATGGAGACAACTGTTAATGACGTGGCACCCTTAGTCGTTACGTTTGTTATCCATGTTTGTTACGTTCGTTATAAATGGTTAGGGCGGTGGGTTGTATATAAATACAAGGTGGATGTACGTATGGAATATAATAATACAATCTCATTTTCCTCTCTCAAAATATCTTCTTCTTCCCCAAATATCTCTTTCTTCCAGATAATCTCCATTGGAGAAGCTTACAGCTTTCCAAGCTGTTGAATTCACGATCGCTGACCTAGGTTAATTGATGCGTAGCCATGGAAGCTCAATTGAAAAACATGGAGAACAGATTCGCAGGAATCGATGAACGGATCAACGCACAAGATCTGAAGCTTGATCAGATCATGATGATCTTGAAGAAGATGGAAACACATTCAGGAAAGGAGAAAGAAAGCAATACGACATCAGTTGGGGACAGAATCCAATCAAATGGCAGATTACTCAATTTCAACCCTAAACTGGAGTTTCCAAGGTTCGATGGAAGCAATACGAGGAATTGGATAAAAAAGGCAGGTAAATATTTTAATCTCTGTAAAATACCAGAGGAGCAGTGGGTGGATATAGCCAGTTTGTATATGATTGACAAGGCTGAAAATTGGATGTCAAGCTATCTGTCGTTTAGAAAGTTTGTGTCATGGCATGAGTTCATCATAGACTTGAGTGCAAGGTTCAGAGATGATAAGGGGCATAATGTAGTGGAGCAATTCAAAAAACTCGAACAGAAAGGATCATTAGAAGATTATATCGATGAATTTGAGGACTTAAGATCTGTGTTGGTACAAAACAACCACTATCTGCCTGACTCGTACATTTTAGACTGTTTTATTGGAGGATTGAAGGCAAGCATTAGGCTATATGTTAAAGCCTTTAAGCCTAACTGTTTAGCTCAGGCCATTGAATATGCTAGGCTCAGGGAAGAGTCATTGGAGGTGGAGCATGCTCGATATACCAAGTTCCAGAAACCTCCTCCCTATAATTCTTCTAAGCCTCCCCTTCTGCCAACTCCGCAAACCAAGGCTGCCAATTTCCCACCCAACAAGGGCTTCAAATATATACCTGCAGATGTAAGGGCAGAAAAGATAGCCAAGGGGCTGTGCTATTACTGTGATAAGCCCTTTGAGAAGGGCCATAAGTGCAGTTTCAGGGAACAGTTGTTTACAGTGGAGATACCTGCAGAAGTAGATCTCACAGAAGCCTGGGAGGAAGAAGTGGACCAACTTGATTCCATCATAGCTACTGAAGGAAATGATGCTTGTTTATTTGTACAAGCACTGACAGGGGGGCACAGCTATCAGACTATGAGGGTTAGGGGCTTGGTTAATAAAGAAGCTATTCACATATTGGTGGATTCAGGTAGCACTCATAATTTCCTTAGTCTGGATATTGCGAGAAGATTGGGGTGCAAAGTTGAGGAGGTCCCTGGTCAAACAGTGATAGTGGCAGATGGGAATAGGATAGCTTGTCAACATGCTTGTAAGCATTTCACTTGGAAGATGCAAGAGGAGGAATTTGTCACAGACGTGTTACTGACTCCTTTGGGAAGCTGTGATATGGTATTAGGGGTGCAGTGGTTGGAAACATTGGGGCCAGTCTATTGGGACTTTAAGGAGTTGACAATGAGGTTCCAATAGGAGGGAAGACTCTTTACATTGAAAGGCATCATAAACAAAAAGATGAGGGTAATGGAAAAGGCACCTGTGGCTAAGACATTCACCAACTCCATCCAATTTTGTCTCCTCTAAATGAACACTGGGAAAGAGGAAGGTTACCCCGGGGTGTTACAATGCAGTTCCAGTGGCCAAGATGATAATGTGCACTTGAAAATTGAGACCCTTAAAAAAGAGTTCAGCAGCCTCTTTGAAGATCCAAATGAGCTTCCTCCACACAGAGGGGTTTTTGATCATAGAATACCTTTAGAACCGAGGGCAAGACCAGTCAACATCAGGCCTTATAGGTATCCATTGAAGCAGAAGGATACTATTGAGCAGCTAGTACAAGAAATGTTGGACAGGGGAATTATACAACATAGTGCAAGCCCATTTGCTTCACATGTGGTATTAGTTGGCAAGAAGGATGGCACTTGGCGGTATGTGTTGACTACAGAGAGCTCAACAGCAGGACCATAAAGAATAAGTTCCCAATTCCTATTGTGGATGAACTTATAGATGAGTTGGTAGGTGCAGTGGTGTTCTCTAAACTGGATCTAAGGTTGGGCTATCATCAACTGAGGATCCACCCAGAAGATGTCTTCAAAACAGCATTTAAAACTCACACAGGACATTTTGAGTTTTTGGTAATGCCCTTTGGGCTTACCAATGCCCCTGCTTCTTTCGAAGGATGGATGAATGAGGTTTTTAAACCCTTACTCAGAAAATCTGTTCTGATTTTCTTTGATGATATATTGGTATATAGTAAGAGTGAGGAGGAACACTGGGTGCATTTACGACAAGTTTTTCAGCTCATGAAGGATAATGTGATGTATGCTAAGATGAGTAAATGTACCTTTGTAAGTAATAAGGTGGAATACTTGGGCCACTTTATTTCTGCCAAGGGAGTGGAAACAGATCCTACAAAAATTGATGCTATCACTTCTTGGCCAGTTCCTACATCAGTCAAGGAGCTCAGGAGGTTTTTGGAATTAGCAGGCTATTATAGGAGGTTTATAAAGGGTTATGCGATGATTAGTAGACCCTTGACTGATCTCTTAAAGAAGGGTGCCTTCATATGGTCAGATTCTGCACAGATAGCTTTTGATTCTCTCAAAGTGGCTCTATCTACAGCCCCGGTGCTAGCAGTACCTAACTTTACCCTAACATTTGAAATCGAAACAGATGCCGCCAAGCAGGGAATTGGGGCTGTTCTTATGCAGAAACAACATCCCCTGGTATTCATCAGCAAGACGTTGGGCCCTAAGTGGCAAAAATTATCAGTATATGAAAAAGAGTTGTTGGCTATTGTTTTTGCTGTACAGAAGTGGGAGCAATATCTATTGGGCATTTCATCATAAGAACCGACCAAAAAAAGCTTAAAATGGCTTCTTCAACAAAAGGTGTCCACCCCTTTTCAGCAATCTTGGTTATCCAAGTTACTGGGGTTTGACTATGAAGTAGTTTACAAAAGTGGCAAGGACAATGTGGCTGCTGACGCCTTATCTAGGGTACATGGTTCTGAGATATTACTTATGGCCATCTCAGTAGTATCTTCTGACTTGGGAAGATTGATTAAGAACAGCTACCTATTAGACCCTAACCTTATGTTGGCTGTCCAGACATTACAAAGTTCCCAGCCTCTGGGACACTTCACCCTACAAGATGATTTCTTAAGAAGGAAGGGGAAGTTGGTTGTGGGTCCTGATGAAGAATTAAAATTGCAAATTATTAGATGGCATCACTCTAGTCCAGAAGGGGGACATTCAGGAAGGGATGGAACTCTTAAAAGAATAAAATCTTTATTCTATTGGAAGGGCATGAACAAAGTAGTCAGTAACTTTGTGAGGAACTGTGTGACATGCCAGGCTTCTAAAAGTGAGACTGTGCCAAGCCCAGGATTGCTACAGCCTTTACCTGTACCAGAAGGAGTATGGCTAGACATTTCAATGGATTTCATTACAGGGTTACCTAAATCTATGGGGAAGGAAGTAATTCTGGTGGTTGTGGACAGAATGAGTAAATATGGCCACTTCATTGCCCTTAAACACCCCTTCTCAGCCCTAGAAGTTGCACAAGCATATTTGGACCACGTTTTTAAATTACATGGGTGGCCAAGAAGTATTGTGAGTGATAGGGATGTTGTTTTTCTTAGCCAATTTTGGCAGGGCCTTTTTTCACTTCAAGGGACTGAACTTCTCTTATCTACAGCTTACCACCCTCAAACTGATGGCCAAACTGAGGTGGTTAACAAGTGTTTGGAAATGTACTTAAGATGCATGTGTGGAGATAAGCCATCAGATTGGTGTATGTGGCTTTCTTTAGCTGAATGGTGGTATAACACCCACTATCACACTGCCATCAAGCTCACCCCTTATGAGGTTGTTTATGGTCAACCACCTCCTCTTTATCGGCCATACCTACCAGGGGAGTCTAAGGTAGAGGCTGTGGATAGAAGCATGCAGAGGAGACAACAAGTAACTGAGCAACTCAAGATTCAGTTGGTGCAAGCTCAAAACCGAATGAAGGTACAAGCTCATAGGCACAGGTCTGAGAGGAGTTTCAAGACTAGGGACTGGGTTTGGTTTAAACTTCAGCCATATAGGCAACAATCTGTTCAGAAAAGGGCTAACCACAAGTTGTCTCCCAAGTACTTTGGCCCCTTTCAAATTGCTGCAACTATTGGCAAAGTTGCGTATAAACTAAAGCTACCAAACCAGTCTTGCATACATGATGTGTTCCATGTATCTCAGCTGAAGCCATTTAGGGGTACCCTCCCTACTGCCGTACACATTCCAGAGTGGTTCCAGGGGCAAGTTGTTGGCACTCATCCTAGGCCAGCGGCAATCATTGACAGGAGGATTCAGAAGGTTCAAAATAAAGCCCAAGTACAGTATTTGGTTCAATGGGAAGGTTATAGCAACCTGGAGGCTACGTGGGAACCAGCTGAAGATTTCAAGGCCGCCTATCCAGATTTTCAGACTTGAGGACAAGTCTTCACAAGGGGGAAGCAATGTTACAGCTGGTTTATAAATGGAGACAACTGTCAATGACGTGGCACCCTTAGTCGTTACGTTTGTTATCCAAGTTTGTTACGTTCGTTATAGATGGTTAGGGCGGTGGGTTGTATATAAATACAAGGTGGATGTACGTATGGAATATAATAATACAATCTCATTTTCCTCTCTCAAAATATCTTCTTCTTCCCCAAATATCTCTTTCTTCCAGATAATCTCCATTGGAGAAGCTTACAGCTTTCCATGCTGTAACAAACACATTGAAAAATCAAGCTGGGGTTAGTCAACGAACATGATAACCACGTAGTATAAATATGTCAAAGATAAACAAAAGTAGTGACCAATTTTTAATCCGAGACTAAATATGTTGTACTCCGTAAAATGTAAAACCTAGGAGAATATTTTGGCCCAACATGATCATCCTCTTTCCCTAAATAACATCATATGTGTTTTTTCCGAATGTAGCACTTTTAGTCATTATCCATTAATAGTTTAATGGATGATGACATTTTTGACAAAATATAATAGTTTAATAACATTTTCTTAAGAAATATTTGTACTAAATAGCTCTAAAATTTAAGTCATTTTCTCTAAATAGCACTTAAATTGTTTTATTGCTTAAAAACACTTAATAATGTCCATAATGGTCAGTGAGAGTAAATTTACTTGAATAATAATTAATGGATAATGACTAAAAGTGCTACATTCGGAAAAAACACATATGATGTTATTTAGGGAAAGAGGATGATCATGTTGGGCCAAAATACTTCTCCTAGTTTTTACATTTTACGGAGTACAACATTAGTCTCGGATTAAAAATTGGTCACTACTTTTGTTTATCTTTGACATATTTATACTATGTGGTTATCATGTTCGTTGACTAACCCCAGCTTGATTTTTCAATGTGTTCTGTTCTACGGCTTCTACCCACCCCTACCTTAAAGTAATCACAGTTTGGAAACCATTTCTCTTTCCATGTTAAAGTTACAGAGATGGGGGAAAAATGCAATCTTGGGGGCATTCATCTTTGCTCTTACTTGATGGCATAAATGCAGGTTTTGATCCATTTTAGGGTTTGGGTTTTTTTGGGGGTGGGGGGTTTGAGAGCTTATGTGTATTCAATTTTTTTTAAGGATGTCTCTTTCAAGCTCCCCCAAATACCTTTCTATTTGTTCACTTTATTATAAGGAATGGACAATTTGTGGAGGCCAGTAAGCATATGCATTGGTTGAGAGATCTGTGTGTGATTGAAGAAGATATGGCCTCTGTAATCATTTCATGTTATTATTTTCACAGAATAAATGCAGGATGGGCAAGGAGTTGAATTCCTATGGGCAGGAAAAAATAAACAGAATACTTGTTTGTTATCATTTCAAATATGTTATCATTTCAAGTATGAGCAAGGAATTGAATTCCTATGGGTAGGAAAAAACAAACAGAATACTCATAATGATAACATATTTGTTCTGTGAAAATATGTGAAAATATGGAGTTCATCTTTCCAAACAGAGTATGCGGAGTATTGAGGAAAATTTAGTTTGTTTCTAACAAACAGATAGAGTCTTATGTGAAAATATGCAGGAACAAAACAGAATACTTGTTTGTTTCTACATCAAGTCTATCAAATCCTATTCTTAATTAACTTATGTGTAGTCTATAAATCAATAATGGGTTATTAATCAACATAATAGCTTTCATAATTCAAAGTCACAGGCTAAAATAGTAGCATGTAATTGTAGAAGTTAACAACCCAGTATGTACATAAAGCAATTGCAAAACATGAATATAAAACAACAATAAAAGTTAATAACTCAGTATGTACACAAAGCAATTACAAAAAAATCAATAAAATTCAACAATTCTGTACATACATATAATATGAATCGTACGCAATATCATGAGTTGAAGTTTGTCTTACATGTTCATCCATGAACACCGTCTCAATTGAATTTGTGGTCTTCTCATCAGTAAACACGGGTAGAGTATATAGCCTTATGACAAGAACCATGATCCTCCAGCACTCGCTCCTTGGATTGATTTTTGATAGAGGATGAGTAGTCATGTCAGCAAGTAAATGGCGTATGAATTGCGTCAGACGGGAAGAAAAAAATAATGGCTTAAGAAGGGGAGTATTATCCATGCTACAGTCCGTGAATGTACAATTGCCCGTTGCTTTGAAAAATGGATTTTTAATTTTTTTTTCTGGTAAAAATTCCTAAATTTTTACAATATTAAACGCAATGGGTGGCCAAAAAATCAAGATTTATAAGTAAAAGAATCAAGAAGTATTCAAATTTAGTAAAATTAAATTCCAAAATGGGAAACAAATTATATATACGCCAGAAATTTGGAAACAAATCGACCTGGAAATTAAATTTGAAATTTGAATAGAAACATAAATTGGAAATTTGGAACCTAAATCCAAGTTTGGAAAAAAACCTAATTTGAAATTTGGAAACAAACCTCGATATCTTCTCATAGCGGTTCTCTGATTGCCGATTATATGTAATATTTCCTAGAATCTGCGTACATCAATTGGTGTAGATGCCAAAAATCAGGCGATTTGGGCATAGCTAAGCGAAGAAAACGGAAGAGCGTAGAAAGTCAGATTTGGTTTCCTGGAAGCACCGTAAAAAGGACGTGTGGAGTATGACGTGTCTAAAAAATAGAATGCCACGTGTCAAAATTCTAAACCATCAACTCTCAAATTTATATTAAAGGACTCCATATCAACCCAAACATCATGATCAAGTTGAGGTAATCTTTATTGGTTGTTTCTACAAGTGTTTACCTATAAATACCACCCAAACTCATTCATTTTTCTCCATTCTTTCTTCTTAAAATTGCAACAACTTTTCTCTTCTTTATACTCTATATATCCATAAAAATATTAAGTTATTTTACTCTCAATACACTACCAAATCTTTTCCCAAAAGACTAGAAGAAGTTAGAGCCAATAAGAGTTCGTTTAGTGCCCGTTTAAGGTAAGAAAACTCTCCCGAAAATTCCGCGTTTTTTTAAAAGTGTTCTTCAAATTATTTAGACACTTTTTTCTAATTTTTTTGTTCTTCGGTAAAGCTCGATAACACCTCTAAAGTCTCGGTTCCTTACTAGTCTTCGACAACCCCGTTTCACTTTCTCTCTCGAACTCGAGGTATGTACAAAATCGTATTGCACGGACTTCCCGTTCAAACTACTATATATATTTGTAAAAATCCTTTAAAAACACTCTTTGTATGATACAAAGTTATTCAAAAAGAATATACAAAGTAGTATTTTATTCTCAAATTAATATTTTATACACTTTTAAAAGTGATTTATTATAAAATATTGATTTATAAAAATGATTTGATATATAGGGAATAATATTCAAACTTTTATATTATCATAAGTTTGAACAACTTGAGATCATCATAAACTTGTATTTCGGAGCAACGGTAGGAGACCCCTATCACTGCTCATCGTATATGTATACAGAACCATCGGCCAAGGTTGCGAGAATGATGCCCAAAAGGCATTATTTCTCAGGGCTACATTCGGAGACCCCGGGTGTATGTCGTTAAATTGAATATTTCGTATCTCAGTGGTTTGGTAAAATCTTTTATAAAGTTTTTATCTAACTTATATCTATGTAGTTTCATATATGGAAATTCGTTCTGTAAAAGTAGGATATTAATTTTCGTAAAAATTATATTTTTACGAGACTCCGTCCTATATTGTTTTGTACCACTCAGCAAATATGCTGAGCGTACAGTATTTTTGGTTTTTACTATGCGTAGGTGATGTAGCTAGAACAAGTAGAAGTGCAGGACATGGCAATTAAATTCCTTTTGATAAATATGGTTATGTGTTTATTTATTTGCTTGAATAAAAAGTTTGTATTTTATTTCATGACGTTATGTTCACAAACATATTCTGTATTAAACTCGTTTCCGCTATTTTTAATAAGTATTTATATGATGTTTTTATAAGAAATTAGTATATTTCCTCTTCACTCTCTAATTTGGAATAGTCCACGAGACTGTTCAAGTTAGGGAGTATATGTTATCGAATATTAAGATGATTATTATTGGTGTTGTTTATGATTAGATTTTAATGAATATTTTGATTAAATTAATAATTATGAATGTTTAAATCGTGATTGAACAAGAATATATTGATGATTATGGAAATAATGTGTATTGTTAAGAGTATCTAGAAAAACTCTAAGATATACCTATTTAGATAATTAATGTTAATTATTAAGAATATCTAAAAAAACTCTAAGATATACCTATGAGACCAATTCAGTAATCTAGGGTTAAAATGTACACGATCCAAACCAAACTTGAGGATCACTCGTTTGGGGATATCACCCACCGGGTAGTCCACTATTCGGTTGGAGTGTGATCCATAAGACTCGTAGGGTAGATCATCGATTCTTGTGTTCTGCCTTAAACTAATTATAGTTTAAGAGATCGGTTAGAATTATTACCTTAGACTAAGGATAGATTATAATTATACAGCCTCCTCAATATAAATATATTCTATGGACCTTGGTTTTAAAAACAAATTGTTAGACACAAATATGAATTTTAGTTTTTACTCAATTGCATAAAAACTCATTAGGTATCAAAATTCTTCCACATTACTCCTGACTAACAGCTAGGAAGCCCAAGTACGGAGAAGGTATTGTATAAAGACTCCGTCCGTGGAGGAGAAAAGACACGTTCACTTTTACTACCAAACTAATATACTTACTCTACTCTTGCAACCAAAGGCACTCGACCCTTGTTCGATACTTTTTGACCTAGTCTCCTAGGTTCCGGGTTCTAAAACCCATCAAAAATATATAAGGTGTGAAATAATATATGCCCAATGATATTAAAAACTAGATAAGAAAATAAAAGAAGAAATTGAAGTACATTCATAGACTAAAAATATCTAATATACAATATAAAATTTTATTAGTATAAATCACATGTTTTGACTTTTGAGGCATATTTAAGGAAGAGAAAAAATATAGTCAACTATTCAAAATTGTCATTACTTTTTAAGAAGGATTACGATGAATGAAAAGATAAAGTGGAGAAGAGTGACTTATTTTAGGTGTAGTTCAGGTATTTTACTCTTAAAGTTTACACTAAAAAGAAACAGATAACTTATTTTGGGATGGAGAAAAAAAGGAAAACAGACAATTTAAAATGGGACAGAGGGAGTAATACTTTCTTGTTGCTAAATAATAAAAATAAGGAGTACATTAAAATTTTACTGTAAAAGATTTTTGAGTGAAGGCTTCATTTTCTTCAAGACTAATATTTCTGGACTCTTACGTTTCCTTCAATATTTTGAATTATTTGTTTTTTTCTTTCTTTCTGTTTTTTCCTTCAAAGGCCTATAAAAATCAGAGGCCAAACAGGCTGAAGATCTTCCTTGATTGAGACCAGGTGGTTAGAACCTTTTGAGAAATGAAGGGATATGGGGTACACCACATGCTGAAGATAATCATAAATAGGCATTTTTGTCCTACACAGCAACACCCTAAAATAGATATTCAACCACACACAGAAGACATTTTAAAACATCTACATACTACATAATAGTCCAGAGAGTTTTGAAACATCATATTAAACTTGCTCATGATATACCAGCCAACTTCGAGTCAAAGATCACAGTACTGACTGGCCAACCTTGCCAGAACGAGGGCGTAGAGGGCGTGTTTTATACTCGTGAAGCCCATTCTTGAACCCATGGGTGGGATGTTCCCCTTCTTTGCACAACAGACAACCACTTTTGGTTTTAGCACCTGTAAAACATTAAGTACTTTACGGTCAGTATGTCAGATCATGGTTATCAATCATCAGTGGCAGCTATTCCAGCTAATAACCCGGGAACATTTCACTTGCTAAGGGTAAGCTCGGGCTTTTTTTTATTTTAATTCTTCAATTTCGTTTTTTATCCCTGAGGGCCGAGAGGGAGTGGTTTTGCAGTTGGCAATAAAGAACCATTGAAATCCCTCAGAAGAGTGATAGCTTAAGCAAGGCCCTCACCATCTAAAACACAACAAGTAGTGGCCTTTCCAAACACAAGGTCCTGATTGACAAAGTTCAGCAAAGAAGAGCTTGTGTGATACTTTCACATTACTTTCCCCATTGGAATGAATATCTGGCTTAGCTTTAAAGCTGCAATGAATCCAGAGTCCATTGTGCAAATGGCCATTGCTCCACAGAGCCTCTACAAGCTTGTAGTTAGTGCACTAGAGATCAAAAACATATGAACAAGGAAACAACGATCAAATAATGAACTGTGATCAGATAAAGAGTTTTTGAAATAAGATAGCTAGCAAACAGAAAATTTAGTTTATTAAGACCAGTAGTTGGAATTTAACATACATGTTTCTTGTTGTATTATGCCAATGCATGCATAGCAGATTTAGTGTTTTGGCGCTCGATATCCTCTTGAGATGCCTTTTGTTCAGGATAGCAGGGTGAATCAGGAGACCAACTGCATCCAAATATAGAAAATTCATAACCAATAAGATAGCGAAATTCACTCATCCAAATAATTGGATCAATCCTACACCCCTTCCATTTCTACTTTTCTTTTTTCTTCTTTGAGTGCAGTTGAAAGATATGATTGTTGCGGGAATTGTTGTGAAAAAGAGGAGACTAAGGAATTAGATTTGAATTGTCGTAAAGGCAATAAAGATCAAATACTACTGAGTCAAAAAAGATTGGAGAATAGATTTCAAGCTGACCCAAACAAGGATATTTTTAAACTTGAGTAACATTACAAAACACCCCGGTTCAGATGGGGTGGGGATTTACCAAGGGGTTAGGGGGTAATAACCACCAATTTTGCGAAAGGAATGCCGTATGTGCCGCACCCTCCAAAAACGAAGGAGAACATATAGGGAGTTAAGGGAGGAGATGGATAAGAAATAAAGAACATCAACATAGGTATTTAAGGCGCGATGCGCACCAATGCGCAAAGGGATTCTAGCACCGCGCATGCAGCACGAACACAATGTGAATATGTAGGCACAAGTAGCATCTTTGAGCATACTTCCATTAGGGGTCATTAGAGCTCTGTCCTTTTTCCAAATCAAGTTTGGAGATTCTTCCATTATAAAGAGTATGACTATGAATAGAAAGAAAGAAATCTGCCAGGTGATGAAAGAACAGGGAAGCCTCCCGATTAAAAAAATAAAGAAATTAAAGAAACAAAAAAAGGTTAGAAGCAACTAACCTTCAATGAAAGGGAAGAAACAAAACTGCCAGGAGAAGCAAAAAAGAACAACAACTGTGAAGCCTCGCTATTAAGAAAACTGAGAAGCAGCTAACTTAGAGATGCAAAGTCCAGCCAACGTAGAGACAAGAAGCAAAGTTGACGCAGAGAGGCGGGAGAGTGGGACTGAGAAGCCAATGGATTAAAAAAACTATAAAAAGAAACTCCGCGCCTGAAAATTTTAACAGAGAAATTACTGCCAAGGCTCATTTGGCCTCCATGCAACCCAATCCAAAAGATCCCTAAACATAACCATCTTCAAGCGACCAGTGCCCAGAATATAAAATAAGTTATCCGCATTAGATAAATAAAAACTATAGCAAAAGTATGATCATGACACACCAAGACTTTAGGCCTCTTCACCATTGATAAGAAAATAGTATACCTAGACTAGAACAAATACACATTCACCGATTTTTAGCAATATTAACTTTATAACAAATTTACAATGTAGTATATAGAGTCAACACCCCTACTGGGGTTTGACCGTGACTTCTCATTTGGGAGAGCGACAATTATGGCACTCGACCGCAAGGTCTTTGGCCACATTCCCCATGATTTGTAATAGAGTGATCATAAAAGAATAAACATGGAACCTTTACTCAAAGGTGCACCCATAGACACAATGAATTGAATTTGAACCGTAAAGGGACCAAACAAAAAACACTACTGAATCAAAAAAGATACGGAGTATTAAACAAAAATATTTTTAAACCTCTTCATAGGGTAAAAGGACAAAACACACCAAAAATCTCAACATATGCTTCTCCCCATACGGTCAAGAGGCAAAGGGGAAAATTAATTGCAAGGGACTATAAGATGAAAAAGCAAAATTTAGAGAAGCTTCGGGAAATGTAGTACTTACCCATCCGAAATGGAGCTATGGGGACTAGAATCAACATCAGAATCTGGATGTTCCTCCCAACCCATATTTCTGGCAAAGGGAGGGAAATCAATCAATCAGGGCCCCAACAATTTTACCCTATAAACGAAAAAAAACTGATTTAAGCTTACACTACTAACTTGGGCTTTTTCGTCTTTCTTGTTGATTTCAAGCTGGATCCATCAGCTCTAGAACGCCGTCGTGATGATTTTGACTTCATTAATCTGCACATCAAAACAGCACACTTTTGAAGACGAGGGAAATCGCGAAAACGGCCAAAAAAAACTCCTCTTTTTTCTTCTAGGGATTGAAAACGAACCTGTTCCTTGGCGCAATTCGGAAAATGCTAAGAGAGAAAAAATATTACCAAGGGTTTTGATTTACTTGGGGATGAGAATCCAATCCTACGGAGAAAAGTGAATTAAGGTGTGAAATTGGGAATAAGCTTCCTGTTCATGGAAAATTTTTAAAACTTGTACTTCATTCTGAAAAGTGGAAGGCGGGCGTATCCCAAATTTACATCAAAGAATACATTAAAATAAAAGTAAAATATTCAAAGTGTATTAATATTGAAATTTCATATTTTTATTCTCGAAATATGAATTAAAATATATTTACATTACTAAACAAGTTCATGTACAATACCAAAATGTATAGTGATGTTTACATTACCACAGTGCGAAATTCTATTTCAAAAATAAAAATATGGAAATTCTATTTTGGTACTTTTTTCTATATTTTAGTCCTATTTAGAGCAACGGAAATGGAGCAGATGCCCCCAGCGTTATTCGCTCTTTGACGCCGATTGGGCATTAAACACCGCCCCCTGGCGGCGTTATGGGGCGTCAGCCCCAACTCGTCAAACGTTTAACGTGTCTCCCCCCTCTCCCAACGGCTAAAAAAGCTGTTAATAAAAAAATTAAATTGAAAAACCCTACAAATTCAATTAAAACAAACATATCTTTCACACATCTCTCACTATCTTCTCTCTACAATTTTATCAAATATTCTTTCAAATATTTGATTATTTATTATAATTATGTATAAAATATATTTTAAAAATGGGATCATCTTCATCGATGAAAAAAGAGCTCTCATTATTTGTTGTTTCGCCACGAGTTGTTATCAATGGCAAGAAGGTGAAAAAGAAGAAGCTGAATCCTCCCGACGCCGGACCTGACGACAACGTTTAAATCAAGATCGAGCGGTTGTCCATGCTTCACTTCTCAACGACTACTTCAATACTCCGTGTGTTTATACACCGGAGGATTTTAGTAATCATTTTCGGATGAGTCGTCCTCTCTTTTTATGCATACTCACCGATGTTGAACGCAAGTTGCCTTGGTTCACCCAACGCTTTGATGCGAAAGACCGACGCGGGTTTAGTAGTGTTTATAAATTTCCGCAAAAATTTTCTAAATCTATTATTCGAAGTTATCATAAAAGATATTTACGTAAGCCTACAGCGAGCGACATTCAGCAGTTACAGGCAAGGCATGCCGCTAAACACGGCTTTGTCGGCATGCTTGGGAGCATTGATTGCACACATTGAGAATAGAAAAATTATCCCACTACGTGCATGGTCAGTTCCCCCGGGGGGATAATTCCAAGCCCATTTACGATTGCATTAATAAGACTGCACCCGACTCATCTTTTGAGCTTAGAGGGACGCTTTACAAGCATGAATATTATTTGGCCGATGGAATATATCTAGATTATTCCACGATTGTCAAGTCCCTCTTCGAACCAATGGGTCTTAAACGTCAGACCTACAAAAAAGCTCACGAGACGGCAAGAAAAGATATTGAACGAGCCTTCCGGGTCTTGAAGACTAAGTGGCACATTTTAGATCGTCCGTCCAAATATTTTTCTCAAAAAAAATAAGGAATATCATGCACACATGTATTATTCTTCATAATATGATCGTAGAGAAAAACAAGTTTGCGATTTGTCAATACAACCCGGACAAGGAGGTGCCTATGTACAAAGAAATTGATGAAGAAAAGAAACCAAAAAACCGCCAAGAAATTTGAAACCGAGAGATTCACAATGCACTAACGGCGGATTTGATCAAACATATCTTCAGTCGCTTGAATAATTAGTAATTTGTTTGTAGTGTTGTTATTTTTTATCGATGTTATATTTTTTTAATGAATGTAATTTAATTTTTTTATGAATGCATTTTTATAGATGTAATTTTTTTAATGAATGTAATTTTTTAATGCACTTATCTCCTTTGGATTATTTTAAATTATTAAATAATTAAGATTTATTAATTTAAATTTAGCAGATGTATATTTAAAAAGGTAAAAAATGAAGGTTTGAAGCCCTGAGGCTTCAAACACATTTCCACTGAATTTGTGAAGTAAATTAAAACTAACGTGGCAGGGAGAGAAATTTTGAAGCCCCGGTTTCTATACTTCATTTGTTTCATTGAACAAATTTCTTATATTGACTTTGGTTAAAAATAAAAAAGAACTATAATGAATTGATTTTCCAATTTTGTTTAATATGATGAATAAAATTAAGATTGATTGGTAAATTACTAGTGAAAAAATATGATGTGATAGGTAAGATAAAAAAAGTATGTGTACAAGTAATTTTATAATATAAAGTGCAAGTGTTTTAAGGAAAGAGAAAAAATAAAATAAAAAATGTTTTAAGAAGTGGAAGGAGTAATTGTTAGTATTTGTAAACTGTGTTTTCAGTTATATTCAAACTAGTATTCTAACTCAGCCACGCACGAATCGAACGAATACTTTTTTTTTACTCAGTTATTTTTTTCGTACCTAATGATTAAAAAATCAGGCCAAATATAATATCGAACTGTGGAATTTTAATGAAGGATATACCATAAATATTTGCTAACCGAAATTCATCTATATATATCGAAAAGAACATGTAAATGTATAAATTAAATCCAAATCTTTTGGAAAACTTCATGGTAAACCATATTTTTGGTAAAGTTGCAAAGACTACCGTTGTCATCTAAAACTAACACTTCCAATCATATCTTTGCTTTCGCTCGTAAATCTGCAACACAAAGTTTACCGTGAGTGAATACGGATTTGTTAAACAATAATTCAACAAATGTTTGGTCTTGACTCTTATTGATTGTCATGGCAAACCATAAACATATTAACAATTGTCTTCTTTGAAACGTAAATGGTAATCCAGGAGTAGTCGGTACCAAATTCATTCACGGTAACATTTCTTTGCAACTCTTTAACGATTAACCATGCACTACTAAAATAATTGCGAACAGAGGGAGAAAAGTTCACCTCTAATTGTACAGAACCCACCGCTAATTAAGATTTAGACAGGAACTAGAGGTGGACTCACTTTTTCCGCTAATCACGCCCCTGTTAATTTTAGAGGCAGAAAAGTCTGCCATAAAAAATAAGTGGTGGCCCTTCCTTCTCCTTAGTGTTCCTTCTAAATGATCTTTTACTCCTTCGAAATGAGTGGTCTTTTGACAAGAACCGTCGATCACAATCAAACCATGAGTGTTTTCTCCCATATTTCAACCAAAATGCTTTTGTATCCTCCAAGCAATATGGGCATGCTAATCTGCCATGCGTGCTCTAGCTAGATAACATACCATATGCTGGAAAGTCGTTAATGGTCCACATTACACTAACTCTCATCATGAAGTTCTTTTTTCTGAAGCATCATATGTCAAAGCACCATGAATCCATAATTCTTGTAGTTCATCCACCATGGGTCGTAAAAATACATTTATTTTTACACATGGATTCTTCGGGCCTAGAACAAGACAGGTTAAGAACATGTATGGTTTTGTCATGCAAAATTCAAAAGGGATGTTGTAAGGAACAAGAATATGGTTGTGGAGAAGCTTAAATGTATGGTGTAAATTCATCTACACATAAGCTAAGTCTGACATTTGTAAAAAATTAAAAATAGAGAAATACTCTAGAACGGATGTAATATTATTTAATAATATGCAACATGAAGTAATAAAACGCGATTCAATGGTACACGAAGTAAGAACTACTCCATTTTCCCCTAAATACATTTCCGCTTATATATTTTATTTGTCCCCAAAAACTCTTTTCATTAAAAAATTAATTTTACTCATACTAATTCGTATCCTATATATCACTATATACATACTCCGTATATGTGTGTGTGTGTGTGTATTTCACAATCACAATTCATCGCATCTTACTTTTTACCTATTTTATCAAGAACTTTTTGGGAAAATATTAACATTTTTTTAAATATTATTCTAGATTATTAGATATAATATTAATTAGTATAAATAATTCTCCTTCCATCCATAAAGATATTCCCATTTTGGTTTATGAGAAATTTAAGAGAGAGATATTTTTGTGTTAATATTCTAAAAATACACTAGATATGATAGGTAAAAGTATGATGTGATAGGTAGATTATTAGTAAAAAATATGATGTGATGGGTAAAATAAGAATTATTAAGAATAAAAATGGTTTTTAATAAAAATAGAAAAAACTTTGTAGAATAAGAAGAAAAAAAAGTTTTAAAAACAGAGGGAGTAGTGTGTAAGTATAATAAATAAATAAAGTGTAATTTACCTAAATAGGACTAAAAATAATGACTTTCTCAATATAGAACCATACGTTTTTATTTCCCAATGTAGGACCATTGGTCATAATTCATAAGTCATTATTCAACTAAATGTCCAGCATTACTTGGACATTCTTTTCACTAGTCATTATTAAGTCATATTTAGGAAATAAAAAAGTTTAAGTCCTACATTGGAAAATGACTTATGTTTTAGTCCTATTCAGTGCAAATTTTACATAAATAAAACTAAGAGTAAATTCTATAATTGGTCCTTTATAAGAAGGGGGTTTCCATATTTAGTCCCATATTATCAAATATTACCCCCGTTGATGGGTGTATTTCACCCAAGACCGGTCAAAGGAGAAGGCCGAATCTTTGACCGGTCAATCTCGAAAGTTTTGGGAGGAAGACTTAAATCGTCAGCAAAACGATATATCATCGGCCAACATATGACCGGTACACTTCACAAAAAGTATACCGGTCAAACTACGTTGTCATCCTATTTGTTCCAGACTTCGATAAATTCATCCCTCGGAGATTACCCGGTGTAGTTTCTGGGGTTGGAAAGTGTCGGCAGAAGAGGATCTGCGAGGGTTTGGCGTGTAGCGACCCGTGTCAGTAGAGGACAGCTGGAGATGCTGAAGAATCCATCCAAGGCGCTACTCGACAAAGGGAATGATCCCCCTCACAAGGCGACAAGGCAGCTCGAGGACGAAACCAGTCACCTCGCACCACATCAGCAGCATGCCCCCACGTGGGCGCACGTGGTCCTGTCCCCTNATAAATTCATCCCTCGGAGATTACCCGGTGTAGTTTCTGGGGTTGGAAAGTGTCGGCAGAAGAGGATCTGCGAGGGTTTGGCGTGTAGCGACCCGTGTCAGTAGAGGACAGCTGGAGATGCTGAAGAATCCATCCAAGGCGCTACTCGACAAAGGGAATGATCCCCCTCACAAGGCGACAAGGCAGCTCGAGGACGAAACCAGTCACCTCGCACCACATCAGCAGCATGCTCCCACGTGGGCGCACGTGGTCCTGTCCCCTTAGCCTAGTATAAATACTCAT